GTCCCTCACATGCCCTGGGAGGGTAGCACAGGGAACCTGCGTTCTGGGAAGATGCACACTGGCTCTGTTTGGGCATTATACACATCACTTTTGCTCACAACTCATTGGCCATGTTGGTCACCAGGCCCCACCCAACATCAGAGCCCAGGAAACGAAATCCCACTGTGTGTCCAGAAGGGAGAGCTTAGAAGGGAGAGGGCATCTTTGGCAAACAGCACAAGAGTCTACCCCTATTCCAGATGTGGATTCTAGGTCCACATGTTAGTTCCACCAGTGGGTAGCTGTGTGCTTCGGACAAGGAACCTTTTAAACGCTTAACTACCTCCTTGATAAAATTCCTCAAGTTCTCCTGAGAATTCAAGTTGTGCTTTCATGCCCTAGGACAGTGCCTGCCAATCCTTACCCAGAGCTTATTACCAACACCACTTACCCACCCCCAGTTCAGACAGGGTGCTCAGAATGCCAAGAGCTTCCTGCAAACACTGTGGAAGGTGGGTAGGGCGGGGAGCGGATGGCCCCGGTGGTCGGCATGTCCAGCCCACGTGTGAACACGAGGTCACACAGCCCTGGGCCACTTTTGGAAGCTCCATGCAGCCTCTATTTTCCACTCCATGATCTGCCGGTTCGGGGTAGGGGATGGAGGGCGGGCAGGAAAGGAAAGACGAGACACCGCCACGGCAGATCCTTTTGGGATCTCCATTTCCTTGCTATTGCTTCAGGATGTTGCTCTTTCCCTGTTTCTAGATGACAGGAAAGTGATTCACGCTCAGAGGAGGGACCCCATCCCCTCGCTCACTGACAGCGCCACTGTCAGAAAGCCCATCCCCGTAAACACTGACCTGGCAGCGGAGACCGGGCCTCCATATGGAAAATCAAAGTAAGCGATCTGGCAGCGCCGTGCAAAGATGGTTTGAATCAGAGGCAGAGACAGCTCGTGGAGATGCGGGTGGGGGCTAGGGGGGCTGTCTGTGCCCTCGTGCCAAGAAGGCGGGGAAGCCAGGCCAGCCAGTTTCCACCCGCCCGAGGAACGCAGGGCGCGTCTGCCTTGGAAGCCAGACCATGGTAGGTCTCTGGCTTACGTTCGGCTCATCGGAGGGTCCTCGGAGTTAATTGGGAAGGAGCCGGGCTGTGTTTTCTTTCCTGCTTAATAGCAAGGGATGGGGGGGGGGAGGGGGGATTGCTCACGGCTCTGGACTGTATTAGGGGGGAATTTGACATTGTTTCCTTGGACAGAGTCTCCGTCCAGGGAGCTAATCTCTCACACCTGTTTGGCTTTGTTAAGGAACCAGGGGGCCCCGGCAGGTTTGCTATGGATTTCTGCACAGAGTGATACGAGGGGGAAGGAAGGGACGAGAGGGAGGAGGGGGATGGTCCTCCTCATGCCTACGTCCGAAAACCTACAGATGCTACACATGCCAGCCTCAGGGTGAACAGACAGCATCCGACAGCATCAAGTCCCGAGGTGAGTATTAAGCATCTGCTACCCACCAAGCTTGTCCTGTGCTGGGAGCAAGCAAGACAGGCAGAACTCCTGCCCTAGGGGGATTCAGATGCTGGTCATCCCCAGAAAAACAAACAAACAATAGCATCTCTCTCGGTTCTGGGAAGCCGGTCACTACAGGAAGGCTGCCCTCTAGGAACTGCTGCTGACTCCTTGCCTAGGCTTTTTATTTTATTTTATTTTATTTTTTTTACTTCTAACATTATGGTCCCCTCCACATGCCCGGGGACCTTGCCCTTGATCCTTTGTGGGAACTTGACCCTCAAGCATGCACCGCAAACAACTGTCAATGGATACTGAAGAGAGCACAGGTGGGCAGGTAACGGTAGGTGTGGAGGGAACACAGGACACACCACAGCCTGTTGGTTGTTGGTCACACGAGTCCCCTCTTCTTGTGACATGGCGGCTGGCCAGGGAGGGGTCCATCCCTGCTGAGGAGAGCAGAAGGACCCTGGAGGATGAAAGAGAAAGTCACCCCACACAGTAGCTCTGTCACCTCCATCGGGTGAATTTTGAGCCTTCATATGCTCATCCATGAAATGGGGATCTCTCTGTCTTGCCTTTACCATAAGGCCCTTTGCAGGCTTCCGGGATACGGCTCGCAAACACGTCCTTTTAGAAAGGAAAACGCTACCCAGACACAGAAACCATAGAAGAGCGGGATCCTGCCTCCTTTGCCTCCCCCTGAATGAGCCGGGTGCTTGGTGGATCTGAGGGAAAGTAGGGAAGGCAGGCATAATTTTCCGGGGTATAAGACGACCCCCTAATTTTACAGTTAAAACATAGGTTTAGGCCTATATTCGCTGTATAAGACTACCCCCCACTTCAAAGAAAAGACTTACTTTGCCATCAAGATCTGCAGGTAATTTTTGTGCAATTTTGGTCTTTTGCCCCCGATTTTCGGTTGACTTTTTTTCGTTTCAAAGGTCGTCTTATACGCCGGAAAATACGGTAGCTCTCAGGTTTGTTGGCCTAGCAATAGCCTCCCTCAGCGCGCTGTGACCTGCCTCTATTGACCCAGCGCTGGGTGATGGGCCAAACACACGCACGTGCATGCATATGCACACGATTCTGCTTACATCCTAGAAACCATCCGAATGACCCCTTTTCTCTACATGAAGTTGTGTCATTGGACAGTGGCACACTGACCAATGTTTAGCAACCAGCTCTCTGAAAAAACATGTTCATGTTTACACATGCAAGCAGGATGATAAACCCTGATGTAAAAGATGAGGAGCACCTCATTGGCAGACCATTATAAACTAGGCCGCACCCTTCACTGTCCATCCCCAACCGCTCACTGGTTCTGGGAAAACAATCCCCCGACTTCTGTTTCGCAGTGGAGGAAAGAAGGTGGTTCTAGCAAGAATGCTGGTTGGTCATTTCATTTCAGCTGAGGAAGATGATGAAACAATGAAGACATATGTTGGAGCCTCACTTCTTAGCCAGTGACGTCATTTCTTCACTGACGAAGAGAAGGTGTTGAATACTGGAAGCAGGTTTCATATCTATATTGGCTCCTCACAATGCAACAACTGTAGATTTATATGTGATCTGCGTCATTGGTGTTGTCTCCATCACCTGATCTTCAGTCTAGACAACTCCAGAGTCATCCAACAAACCCTGATCTGCAGCACTTTTAGATTTTTTGTGACGTTCATGTTCCTGCCACGGCCAATGTGCAGCTAGAACTGTGGCATGCTGGGACAGAGTGGAGAGATGGTTCCATTCTATCGGCAGGACAGATGTGAACAACCTCCGGAGCATAGGTGAAGGGGAAAACACTGTGAAACAGTGAGGAGGTAATCAGCTTATTTACCTCTGTTCTTCATAGAACTTATTTCATTGGAAGTTGACAGAGTTAAACATTTCATAGGGGCTGTGTTTAACAACTGGCTTGCAAGACTCTCATAAATGTAACAATCAGCCCCTGTGAGGGAGTGGGGCTGGGCCCCTGTGAGGGAGAGGGTCTGGGCCCGGCCTACCGCTGCGGCTGGCTTTTCTGCTCCTGGGGAATCAGACGATTTTCTGCAACCAGAGCAGAGTCATTAGCACTCTATGCCAGCTACCGGGGATTCATGATACAGTCCCTGTTCTCATGGCACTTCCAGTCTTTTTGAAACACACACACACACACACACACACACACACACACACACAAAACAAAAAAACCCCAAAAAACAGTGACTCAGAGCAGTTTTCTAGTGCTTTCTTTTTCTTTCCTTTTCTTTCTTTCTTTTTTTTTTTTTTTAAATTACAAGGCCAAAAAAAATCCTATTTGGTATTCAAGTGCATATTTGTTTCATTCTTATTTCTCAGGGACTTTCTAGGCCTACTCTCCCTGTTTCCGCTTGCCAGTTTCCTGGCGAATTGGTCTTTCTCTTAGTGAAAACCTTGGCTAAGGACCGTGGCTCTCAGGACCATGGCGTGCTGTGTCCACGTTGGCCTTTGTGCTCTGACGGCGGCGCAGACAGCGCCCGCCCTGTGGAGAAGTGACGTGCTCCAGGCCCTTGTGCTGTGTGCAGACCGCAGGCTTGCTCCTTCCTCGTCAGAACTTAACTGTGAGGCCTCCACCCGCTTCCATGGGCAGGTGCGACTCCTGGATCTCAAGTGGAAATAAATGCACGAGTGAAAAATGGTTCAATCCCCACCTTCCCTCTGCTAAGAAGGAGGTGGAGGTCATGGTGGGAGGCTTCCCTGTTATGCAGGTTCTCTTTAAACCAGGGACTCTGCGTGTGTGAAAAGGAGTAGGGCTCAAAGTGTACATGTCATTTTGTCCAGGAATAAGGGGGTACATGTGTACCCACGCATGTGCACGTGCAGACGCACACACATGCACGCCGAGAGAGACTCTTCACGCATGAGCAGAGCTTGCTCATCAGAAAGCGCCAGCGTGAGTCCTCTGTCATCGTTGGTAATAGCTCCCGAAATGACTTGGAGAAGTTTAATTACGTCCGAGCCTCCTTTTCAGCTCCTGTTATCTTTTTGAACTCCCGGGGGGTGGGGGGATGGGGAGAACGGGCAGCCCGGACTCTTTCTAAAGAGCCTTTTGTCTCCCCGGCCAGGTATTAAGTTGGTGGCGCAACAATCATAGGTACGTTCGGTTCACTTTTCCCTGCACCCGCCTCCCCGCCCGCAGCGCCGGCCCGGGCCTGAATGTGGGCCTGTGTTCTCCCGGTCCACGGCCTCAGCCCTGCACGGGGGACGGAGAGAGAATGGGCCGCAGGAATGCACCCAGAACAGAGCCAAATTGTTCAAGCTGCGTGAAGAAGAAAGAAAAAACGGGGGGGGGGGGGGGGGGGAGGGAGAAGAAGAAAAGCTTTCCTTGTAGGTTCGATTTCTCCGGAGATATTTGGAGGATAACACAGCCTTTTTTTTTTTTTTTTTTAGTTGGGGGGGGGGGTTGGGGAGAGGTGGGAAGGGGGGGGCAAGAACGCGAGAGCCGAGTTTGATGGGCACAGTGGCCCATACAGAAAGGTGACATTTGAGAGAACAATGGCCGGGTTGTTTGGCCACGTTCGCTGCTATGAATGAAGCTAAAGAAACGCTGTCTTTGGACTGCTAGTCATAGTCATCTTCATCATTCCTGCTCTCTCTCTCTCTCTCTCTCTCTCTCCTCTCTCTCTCTTTCTCAGCTCCCTTATGAAATAAGGGCACACAGGTAATAAACAAAGCACTATAAAAGATCCGATCGAGGGCTTCTGTGGGCTCATTCAATGTCGGAAGCAAGCATTCTGCACAGGGCGCCGTGCCTGCGGCTCCCGAGGCTGGCTCCAGACCCCGGAGTGGCGGCGGGAGTGGGCTAGACCCCCCCTGTCCCTTTTGGCAGCCTCTCGGCATGTATCAGGGCCACGTCCTTGGTCCGCTGCCCCATGCCCGATGGCCCGGGGACCGAGGCAAAAGTGGCAGGGGAGAGAGAGAGAGAGAGAGACCCTCGGATCTGATCACTCGGATTTTGGACAGTGACTCGACCTCCTTGGTCAGCCCTCAGGCCCGATCAGGTGAGTGAGGCGCTCGCTGCCTGGCTTAGGGGTCTGTTGTTCGTCACCGCGATCTGACTTCGGGGTCCCTTCAACTCTGACTGGTGTCTGACTTCCGATGGCATTTTGTCTTGGTTGCCATGGCGTAGGCAGTGGCGCTGGCCTGCAGGAGCCCAAGGAGTCCTGCCTGCCTGCCTGTTCCGAGAGGCAGGCCAACCTCAGCACAGGAGCTGTGTGGCCGGATGGGCTCCCTTGGTTTTGGGGGAGACTCGGTGTTGGGTGGGTGGACAGAGTGGGCTTTCTCGCCACGCATCCTCCTATTCCTGGCTGGGCCTTTGTCTTCTCCTCTTGCCTCTTTCTAATTTTCTTTTGCACCCAAGTTTCAAGATTCACCATCAGTGAATCTGTCTGACTGCATAGGTGTTGGCATCTATGCTGTGAGCAGCGGGCACCAGCTGTGGATCTGATTTCTCCTGAGTCAGTCTCGAAAGTTCTCCCACCTGCCTGTGCTGGCCAGCTGGGCGCCCAGAGGCCTCGCCTCTGCATTGACAAGTCACTACAGCGGAAGGGGGAGATCCAGGGCTGTAGGCACTCTGCTCTCCATTCCTGGGGCTCCGTGATCATCGGCCCTGGGGATACAACCCAGAACAGGCTGGCACAGAACCCTGCCAGCCTTGCAGAGAGGAGGAGAAGGCCTGAGGCTGGGGCCTGTGCGTGTGTGGGGACAGGCCGCACTTCCTGGGAAATGCCGGCTCCAGAGGTTTGCCTGGCAAAGCTTGAGGATGGCAGCGTCACGCACGGACGGGAATTCCATCAGGTGCCTCGTTCTGGGCCTCCAGGGAGAGAGGGTCTAGCCGCGGGGGGTTTGCGTCCACGTCTTCCTTAGTGAACACCTTCTCCAGGAGTGGCCGGGCACACGGTTGCGGGGGCTCTCTGTGTTTACAATCCCGAAGGTACTGGCCAAACCCCGGGATTCCAGGTGTTTTCCAAATGACCCGTTCCTTATTTATCCCCCACTTTGTGACTAGAAACTGATGCATTGGGGTTTCAATTTTCAGTATCTCCAGGGGCCGCAAAGGCAGTCTCTCAGGAGTTTACCTAAAACCTTACACGTCCCCGATGAGCATGTATGTGTATGTGCATTGTGTGTGTTGTGTGTGCATGTGTGTTGATGTTGTGTGCTCATAGTGTATGTATGTTATACATATGTGTGCTGTGTGTGTGTTAGCACATTCACTATGAAAGCGTATGCAGTGGGACACACACAGTGAGTGTTGTATAAACCGGCAGATACTGCCGGTGCTGCTCAGGTGTGTGTGTGAATATAACCGATCAATCTGGAGCCCTGAGCCTGCTGCCTGGTCACTGAGACCCGCACCTCTGCCAGCGGCTTCCTAGCCGCTTTCAGCAGGAGGAGGGAGCCGGGCGCTGTGGAGGGCATGTTTGTTCGTAGGAACGGGGTTCTGGTTACTCCTCGGCAATGCATGTCGCAGGCATGTGTGAAGGTCAGCTCTCTTAGCGCCTCTCAGCCTGAGCTGCTAGGAAGCGTCCCCACTGTGTCATCACACAGCACATCCGTCTATTTGCTTAGCTTTGAGGCTGTTTTTTTGTTTTGTTTTGTTTTTTTCCCCTCCCTCTCTGTGTCTGTGTCCTCCTAGCAGCAGAGATTTCTCTGAAAACAGGGTTTTGCTGTGGCTCCTGCAGGGAAAGCTAGCAAATTCCTGGTTTTGCCCCGGGCCGAGAACACAGTAGGGATTCAGCCACTGGTGGAAGGCGAAGGAATGATTCTAGTGCCCTGACCTGCAGGTCAAGTTGGCCTCTGTATTTATTTGCACACAGAGGGGCCCTCTGAGTAGAATATTCACAGAGTTATTGGACCGGCTGTCTGCTGGCTCGATTGACAAATGTGTTCAATGTCTCCTTTAATTTATCAGTAACTTAAATTCAGTCAATCAACCGATTGCCTGGGGTGATGTAAATATATCACCCACCTTGCAATCCTTCAACTCTCCTTCTTTGCTTATCATCATCATCGAGCTTCATCGATGTGTAGGGTTGGTTTTATATATATATTGGGCAGCCTAATCTAAGGCCCCCTTGCCTCTGAGGCCAGGGTTTGAGATAGGAATGTGGTATAGGAACCTGTGTAGCCATTTCTGGAACAGGATTTCACTTCTTCCCGCAATACATACCCCTAACTCTGATGGGGAACCAGAGCGGCAGCAGAGGAGTAGCTCAGGGGTCATAGGGGACTATTCACAAATATGAGATCGGGGGAGGCTCATCATTGCCAGATTGCCAGACAATGAACCCTGACCAGGAGTCGCAGCCCACAGCTCTGTTCTCACACACATTTTGCCCCAACGGGGGAAGCAGTTCCCAATGATGTCTGGCCCGGACATCTGCCTTGGACAGACTTAGGGGGCCTGAGGACCCCGGGCTCAGACATGGTGTTATGCACTGATCCTGCCTCTGCCTATTAGCCTTGTGGGTAAGGGCGGCACTCGGTCTTCTAGAAGAACACGGCACAGTGCAGCGGGCACACAGTCTGTGTCTGGGGCTTGGGAAGACTCCGGGGTGACTTAGTGCCCAGGAGGATTTGAGAGCTGGCTGGCTTATGGCCATTACCATTGGCTAATAATTGCGCTAATCTTTTCGAGGGAGGTTTTGTGTGCGTGTTCCCCCTCTCCCCCATCCCCAGGTCGGAGAACAATAAGAGAACTGTGTTTCGGCACCGGCCCATGAGCCAGGCAGGGACTGCACCTGGGTGGGGAAGGTCAGCCAGCGATGGCGACCCGCCGGGCATTAGCCCCGAGCCATCAGGAAGGAGCCCAGACCGGAGCATGCTGGCTTTGGCTGAGTCAGAAGGGGGCGTAGGCTGGTGGAGCCATTGGAGCATCAGCTGCTTTGCGGTTATCAGATTCGGTGTCCTTTGGGGGACCGCAAAGCAAGTGCCATGCTTGCTGGAAAAGGAGTGTGTGTGTGTGTGTGTGTGTGTGTGTGTGTGTGGTGTTTACTGCACACGTGTGTACTGCATTTTATCCTGCTTAAAATTCTGTTTTGTTCAGAATGTATTAACATGCTATTTAGCCTGAACTTGGAGTACAGCTGCCCAGCGGGGATGTTCCTGCAGACCAGTGATTTTCCACCTTTCTCATCTCCTGGCACATAAACGAATCACTGCAATTCTGCAGCACACCCAAAAAACATCTTTTTTGGCTGATCTGACAAAAAAAAAAGGTATAACTCTGAGTCATTCACCTTGGATGACTATTGTGGCCATTTTTTAATTTGACAATCTGAGGGGAAGAGGTCAGTGCCCTGACTAAATAATCAGTACTGCATGTTTTAAACATTTCTTGCAAGAACATTGGTTGAAAATCTCTGCTGTAAAGCAGCGTGTGTGTGTGTGTGTGTGTGTGTGTGTGTGTGTGTAAAGGGGTGGCAAACATGTTAAACATGTTCATCTTTAATGTTAAAATCAAACCATCAGCTCTCTGGGGAGTGGGGAGTTGAACTAACCTACAAAGCGGGTCCTGGATGGGCGTGTGCCCCCAGCATAGGCCAGTTCTTTCCCTGCTCCGCTGTGATGAGAACGTGACAGCCGGGGCAGGTCCGGCCTGGTCCAGACTGTCCTTCAGAAGCCTGAGCGGGCGGCACCTTTCTCCTGGTGAAGGGCCAAGGGCAGAGGAGGGCTCCTTGCAGAACAGGGAGGACACAGGACACAGCCTTCTGGGAGGCGGAGGGAGAGCCAGTGCCTTTATCTCCTCTGTGAGCACGGAGCGTCTCTGTGGCACCCAGACGCCTCTGGCGTCTCTCCTCTCCTTTTCCCATCATTGCTCTGGCTCCCCTGGACCTTCCTTTGGTCATGTGTGTGCTGAGCATCTTCCTGGGGAATGCCGCTCATTCAGACCATTCCCAGTGCTCTCTCCCCCTCACAACTCCCATGTCCCCAATTCCATTCTCCTCAAAGCCTTGCACTTAGGGGACATACAACTTATTAAAGGGAGACATTAATCCAAGTGAATGAATGAATTCTTTTAGAGACATGTTTTTTTTTTTTGTTTGTTTGTTTGTTTAAGAATACTTTATTGATTTTGAGAGAGAGGGAGAGAAACATTGGTGTGAGAGCAGAACATTGGTCGTCAGCCTTCTGCATGCCCCCTTTAATTTTTAACAATATGGCAACCTATTGTATAGCCTCTACTATGCCTTGCTTTCTTAAAAAAAAGTTTCAGAGATTTAAAGAAACTTCCATATTCACTATTGATTTGCATTTGTTCTATGCTTACATTAACACTCACACTGATGGGCCTTTAGGCTGCTTCAAAGTTTTCATCTTGTAAACAAAGCTGCACAGATAGCCTGGCCCACCTTCCAGCACTCCTGCCCGGTCAGCTCCTGAAAGTCCGATTTTTACTTAAACATGATGTGGTTTGCAATTCCTCGAGCTATTGCAAAATGCCTTTCACGAACAGTGAACCAATGAATGCTCTCTGCATAATACATATTCAAAACGATCCAGGCCCCTGCCTGGTGGCTCAGTTAGCATGCCATCCTAAACACCAAAAGGTTGCGGGTTTGATTCCTGGTCAGGGTGCGTACAGGAGGCAACTGATCCATGGTTCTTTCTCACACTGCTGTTTCTCTGAGATGACGAGAGCTAACCTGCATCGAGTACTTTCCATGAGCCTATGGTATAGTAAATGCTTTTCCTATAGTTTTCCTTATAAGAATTCTCGAAGGCAAGTGACTACCATTCTTCCCATGTAGCAGATGAGAAAACTGAGGAAATGTATTCAGTTATTTGCCCAAGATCACGTGACTAATGGCAAGTGAAACCGGGAGAGTCAGATGGCAGAGCCCGCACACTCATCCCATTATTACTCCTTTCTGTGCCACATTACATGGCAAAGTGGCCATTGGGGTGAATGTTAGTATCTCCAGAAAGAATATAGAACAATGTCTGCCCTGGAGAATCTGCAAGCTAGCGGAAGGGGACAGGCCCTGGCAATAAAATC